CAAACCAGCTCACTCGCGCTGTCTCCCGTGCCGTCCAAGTCGGCCCTCAGCCGAGGTTGCGTGCCCCAGAGGTGCCAACAGGCCAGTGCCTCACTTGAGGAGGGTGAGCTGCAGGTAGACTTTAAACCATTTTCGTGAGGGTCGAAGCTACCTACTCCCAGAATCCCGTGCAAAGTTGGTGCTTGTTCCAGACAGTTGTGGGTTACATGGGCTCGTCTCGCCTCGCCTCCACCTCAAATGATGACTTGAGAGCGATCAATGCCCGCGTAGGTTTTCCTCAAGCGTCTACGTAGCCCCATTACTTTTTAGGGTTGTATTGTTTTAGGGCGATTCCTGTGTATTTGTGAAGGCGGTGACCCCTAAAACCCTCGAGCGCCCCGGAACGATTCGAATAGCATCCAAATTCATCCAAGGACAAGGCAACACCTCTACCTCCCCCTCCCCCTTCGGGAAACATCACGTTCCTTTCACCACTCCCGATGGTGACGCGCATATCGCTTCAGGAGCCGAATAACTAATAATTCCATTAGCGAGTGACTGTGATTCGCTCATTGGCAAAATACTTATGAGGGGCCTCTTGCGGTCACACGCAAGGCGTCGGGGGGGTCTCGTGGGGTCTCGATCGAGGCGTCCCGGGGATTTTGTGATGCGCTTTGGGGCTTGCTGGGGACTTTTCGGGGGTCTGTGGGGGCCTCTGGGGGCTTGCTCAGTGCCTGGAGGCGGTCTCGGGGCTCATCGTCGGGTGGAAGGCTCCGAAGGTAAGTTCATCTTCCTTCTCTTGGACCCCGTCTTGGGAGCCTCTTTGGCCCCTTGTTCGGGTCCCCCAGGACCGAAAAGTCCAGGCTGTAGAAACGAAGACGAACTGATGCTTTCTCAATGAGTTTGGCATCTTTGGGATGTCGTTCCCCGGGGCCTCCAAGACAGCCCGAGGGCCGTCAAGATTGTCCCAGACCGATCTTTGAGGGCCGTCAGAAAGCATGCTAGAGATTGAGGCCCGCGGCAGCGCTCCCGAAGCGTTTGGAGAAGTCACGCGGGGACTCCCAGGAGCGCACGGTAATGACGGGAACTCAGGGGTCCAGGCCCATTGGAGACCAATTACATCATTCACTGCAGAGGTTTCACAAAGACTTGGTGAAACCGCACTCAGTGCCTACGACACGGTGGCGCATAGTGAGTGAAATGGTGCCATTCGATTCATTCGTTTGCACGTGCGATGTCATCCGCAACAAGCGTTAGGAAGTGCGCAGTGTTGCGAGCTGAATCCTCCCTCGAGGTATCCCTTCCAATCTTGCTCGTTGATATCTTTCTGTCTGCTGTTCCGCAATTGCTTTCGCTCGACGCTAGCGCAGGACAAGATCCATAGAGGCTGCCACATCATCCTCCCTGACAATCGCGTCCGGGCCGTGGAGGACCCCCCACACACCATCTTGCACATTGCCGGCAGCAGAGGAGGATTCAACATGACCGACATGAAACAGTGAATCGGTGGATAGCCGGTGTCAGTGCTGGAGGGGTATGTCATTGCGTCGGGCATCCGCGTAGATAACGCTTCTTTAGCAGGTATATCGATGCATTTCGTGTTGGCGGCTCCGAGAGGGCAAGCATCGTGATGGGTTGTATGTCCTGGTTGAGGACTTGCTTGCGGCTTGTGGAGGTGTCTGCTGATGCGTTGGTTATTTCCTCGCAGGTCGGATCGTGAAGTTTGCGCCTTATTCGAATTCAAGTCGGAATGAAGGCGGGTTTTGTTCGTGTCGTGGGATCTGGCACACCCGCGTGGCGTGCGCGGACCAGAGAGGTCCGTCTGCCGTAGCTCACAGGCAAGTTCGGCAAGCCGCGTTCCTCTTTTCACGGAGACTGGGCCGCTCGGGTTTTCCTGCGGCGGCGCCGTTGGTTTCTTCTTCTGTCGGGGACAGTGTCGGCCCAAGTGTCCCGCGGTTGTCCTGCTTGGTTGTTTCGTTCTGTTATCCCATGGAGGAGGAGGAGGAGGAGGAGGAGGAGGAGGAGGAGGAGGAGGCAGCTGGAGGGCTGAGCATATTCAGCCGGCCAGGAGGTTGAGGCAGCATTTCCACCCGGCTTAGGCTTGTACCGTCAAACAAGCCACCGGCGTGCCGCGGCATGCTGAGGCCAGTTTCGCTGGCTTGGTTCCCCCCTCTGTTATCCCATGCATGGTAGTACGACCGATGGTCTCGTCGACGGGGCCGCCAGGCCTGGGTCTTGCTCGGTTAGTGCGCCCAGCATGAGCTGGAGTGCGGAGGGAGGCTGGCGGGGAAGGCGTGGACGAGGTTGGGTTTGGAATGGCGGAGGGTGTGCCCTAGGTGTTCGATTCGGGCCACGATCCCTGGCCCTGGACTGTGGGGCGGAGACGCCCTCCCCTCTTTCGGCAGGCCAACATACGTAAGGTCAGGTCCACTCAGGTCTGCACGGGTCTGGGATCCCAGTGGTTTCGGACGGGGCTAGGGGCGAGGACAAATCTTGGATTACCATGTGGGACCTGCTCTAGAACAGAGAGACCGCAATCGGATCTACAATTTCTCCGACGCTGCACCGTGCCGAACGCACCGGCCACGTTGTCCATCCCCGAGAGTGTCTATGGACGCCACGGCACTCACATTGTCCATAAACGCTTTTGGTTAAGACGTGAGAACAAGGTATTTGGTATTGGCCCCAGCTGTTTGTCTTCTAGAAGCATGTAGGCTTGGCCCTCCGAAGGAAATCCGTTCCCGAGCGTTTCGGAACACTCTCAGAGCGTTCCAGGCGAACGTTCTGACAAGACCGCGGTGACTGAGACGTCCTCCAGAGCCGCCGGATCTCAGAGGTGTTCGATTCATCCGCGCCCGATGTTTCCGTCGTCATGGCTCCGTCCTGTGGGCTCGTAGGATGCGGGCCCGTCGTTCCAGAGCGTGCCGGGGTAGTTCGGAGCGCCCTGCGCTCGTCCCGCGCCCGGCCACCGGAGAATTTCGTCTCCACCCCCAGGGCCGGCCTTTTCATTTGTAGGCCGTGCCCTCGCAGCGCCCCGCTGGAGGTCGAGCGCGCCAGAGAAGAAGCCGGCCGTGCCCGGCCTCTTCGCGCGGCGCCGTGGAGTCGAGGAAGCGTACAACCCAGACCCCTTGTCGACTTGTGAACAGAAATCACGACGGGAGTTTTTTCCGTTATTTTCTGCCTCTGGGGGCCTTTGCTGGCCTTCAGGACCATCAAACAACAATTCGGGAGGAAACAACGGCCCCAGGAACATCATGTCGCCGGGGGTCTCGGAACTCGAGTGCGCCGGGGTTCAGGTTTGCCGACGCTGTTTGACGAGCGCGTCCTGGGTTTTGACAGTCCGGTTTGCGCGCGATGTTTGCAGCGAGAGTTCGCGTCAGATTTCACATTTGGGTCTCGTCATTTTCACGATGGCCCTGCCAGGCCAGCCTGAGCCCCCCGAGCCCGAGTCTGACGTCTCCCCGATGGAGGACCGTGGGGGGTCACAGCGTCGACCCCCAGGGGTGTGGATCCCCTCCCTTCGACCAGCTCTTCATCCTGGGCCATCTTTTGACGACCCCGAGGGCCAGTGTCCGAAAATGACGAGACACCTCCCATCGTGATTGTTTCACGACGCGACGCCTTCCAGAACCGTTCTCGAGCGTGCTCCATGTTCTTCGTGCTGCGTCCGTCGGGCACGGGCACAAGGGGGCGACGGGAGGCACAGGAAGGGCCAGAAGGGGTCCAGGATAGTCAAGATCGTCGCCGTTGCAGGGAGCACGAACGGGACGAGGAGGATCAGTGGGAGGAGGAGGACGTCTCCTTCGTCGAGGTTGATTGCTTTTCATTTCCCCCCTCTCTTTCCCCTCTTGCGGTCTTTCGGTTGTTTGATGCTACTGTCAATCCCGCATACTACGGATGAGCAAGTTTTCAAAATTACCCGTGCATCCTTCCTCTTTTGCCCGTCCGCTGGCCGCGCCTGGCTCGCAACGTGTCGACATAGCATCCCAAGACCCTCGCAACCTTACGGTGCGTTCTTAGTATACGGATTGACTGCACCTCTTGCAAATGCTCCAACAGCCAGCGACTCGTGGAGCAACAGCTCCAGGAGTCGCCAGGCTCCTCGTTTTATCACCCCCTAGGGCCAGCCGGCCCTGCAATTCCTCAGACTTCAGCGCCGTAGATCAACGTAACGGTTGCGTCTGGGGCCTCATAAAGGATGTGCGCGGCGCGAATGCGCGAGATCCACATATGAAAAGGAACACCCTCCATCCTTGCAGTTGTCGCACACTTGTATGGCGAATTTACGCGGCGCACGGCGAGAGCCACGTGTTGAACCCAGGACCTGACCTCTGTTCCAGGAACTGCTGTAAATTTCTAAGGCGACTGCGCGCGGCGCTGAGGTGCGAGAGCCACATCATAAAATCCACCCGCCCTCCATCAGTGCACTTGCTGCTAACTCGGGCGAGAGCCACAGTTTGAAATCCACCCGCCATCCATCAGTCAAGCTGTTGTGCATCTTTAGCTTCAAGATCCATGAGTAGTGCGGAAGTCTGGTGAAATTCCCCAAACGCCCTACCGACACGTTTGAGGGTGCGACACGGGGGAGTTGGTTAGAAGGAAGAGGGATGGAGGAAGCGGATGATGAGAAGCAGGAGGAAGAGGGGAGGAGGACGGTTTTGGAGAAGGAGAGGGGTGGGGAGGAGAGCGAGAGGAGGAGGAGGAGGAGGAGGAGGAGGAAAAGGAGGAGGAGCAGGACAGGAGCAGGAGCAGGAGCAGGAGCAGGAGCAGGAGCAGGAGGAGGAGGAGGAGCAGGAGGAGGAGCAGGAGGAGGAGGCAGGAGGAGGAGGAGGAGGAGGAGGCGGAGGAGGAGGAGGAGGAGGACAGGAGGGGAGGAGGAGAGGAGGAGGTGGAGAGAGGGGCCCGAGGAAAGCTGAGGAGGAGGCGGAGGAGGAGTCTGAGGGAAAAGGAGGTGGAGGAGAAGGAGGAGGAGGAGGAGGCAACAGGGAAGGGAGTCGAGATCCCTCGCCGCCGCCGGCCAGGACCAGCTCAGCGCCCGCGTGCGGGCGCGCCTGCTCGACCAGATCGGCTCGGTGCCGCGCCCTGCGGGGGGGGGGAAGGGGGGGGGGGGGGGGCGGGCCGGGAGGCAGCCGCGCGGCGTCGGACTCACGGGCCACGGCCCGGAGGGCTCGAGGCAGACCTGCCACGTCTGGGGGCGATGAGGTCCTTGCCCCCCCTGGAGGGGCCCATCGGCTTCGACGCCTCCCCAGATCTCCGACGAGCTGATTTTTGAATCCCGTTTTCGTTTCGTCGATGTCGGCCTTCGGAGCATGTAGATCGCATGGGCAAGGCCTACCCTTGGGCCTACCCCATGGCCTCCCCTGGGCCTATCCTAGGGCCTACCCCTAGGCCTACCCCAGGACCTACCGCTTCGGCCTACCCCAGGCCTACCCTAGGGGGGTCTACCCCTAGGCCTCCCCTGGGCCTACCGTAGGGCCTACCCGTAGGCCTCCCAGGCCTACCCTGGGGCTTACCTCTAGTAGGTCCACCCCAGGCCTACCCCTAGGGCCTACCCCTGGGGCTCACCCCAGGCCTACCCCTAGGCCTACCCTACGTCTACTCTAGGGCCTACACTTAGGCCTGGGCCCATGCCTAGGGGTACCCTGAGTCTTGCCCCTAGGGCTACCAGAAGGGCTGCCCCAGGGGTACCTCTAGGGCTGCCCTAGGCCTTGCCCCTAGCCCGAGGGCTACCCCTAGCCCGACCCCAGGTCTTCTCCCCTATGCCAAGGCCTTGCCAATGCCGCATGCCCGACCCCGCTCTCCGACCCGACCCGCTCGTCAGGGTCCTTTCGATCCGGCGTCGCCGTTCGCCGTTTCGCACCGATTCCGACCCGACCCGCCCGACCTGACCCGCCCATTAGGGCACACCCGACCCGACCCGAACCGCCCGGCCCGACCCGCCTGTTAGGGCCCGCCCGGCCCGACCCGACCCGCCCGACCCGACCCGCCTGTCAGGGCCCGCCCGGCCCGACCCGACCCGACCCGCCCGTCGGGGCCATCCCGACCCGACCCCACCCGACCCTCCCGACCCGACCCGCCCGTCAGGGCCCGCCTGGCCCGACCCGACCCGACCTGCCCGACCCAACCCATCAGGGTCCGCCCGCTGCGACCCGGCCCAGCCCGTCAGCCCGACCCCCCCGTTAGACCCAACCCGCCCGTCAGCATTGAGTCCGTGACAGGAGGAGGAGGAGGAGGAGGAGGAGGAGGAGGAGGAGGAGGAGGAGATGAGGATATGGAGGAGGAGGAGGAGGAGGAGGAGAGGATAGGAGGAGGAGGAGGAGGAGGAGGAGGAGGAGGAGGAGGAGGAGGATATGGGAGGAGGAGGAGGAGGAGGGAGGAGGAGGAGGAAGAGGAGGAGGAGGAGGAGCAGGAGGAGGAGGAGGAGGAGCAGCAGCAGGAGGAGATCGAGGAGGCGGGACGAAAGGAGGGGAGGTTACAGCGAGGACGCCTTCGCAGGTGAACCTGCCACAGGGTGGTTCGGTGGGTGCGCGCGCCTGAAGCCCCAGATGCGGGGATGGCGGATTCCGAGCCCCCCTCTGACCCCCGGGCGTGGGGTCGGTGGATGTTCAGTCTCAGGAGGCGCGATCCACGCGAGGGGTTTGCTGACCACGTTCGGTCGCGCACACGAGGGGCCGCATGGGCAGTTTTGATAGCATGTGTATTCTACGCAGACAAGTAGGCGGTGTGGTGTACACAAACGTTGTGGTCCACGCGTCCTCCTGCTGCTCCTGTTCCTGCTGCTCCTGTTCCTGCTGCTCCTGTTCCTGCCTCGTTTCATTATGCTGCAGATCCCGCCCCTCTTGCTCCTCCATAGTCACGTCGGCTCAAGGCTCACGTGGCCTACGCCATTCCGCCGCCCCCCCCCCCGGGAGAAGTGAAACAATTATCTTGTGGCCTTCGGGCATGACCACCACCGTGCCTGGGCTTGTGGCATGGGTCCACGTGGCCGTATATGATGATCTCTTGGGGCGCCTCCAAGCGGTGTCTTAGATTGATTTTAGGAGCTTGGATCAGCCAGTAAAACGACTACTGCTACTAATAGTACGACCGCTACTACTAGTACTAGTACGACTGCTGGTACTAGTGCCAGTAGAAATTGCAGTAGTAGTAGTAGTAGCAGCAGTGGTAGTAGTAGAAGAAGTAGAAGTAGTAGTAGTAGCAGTAGTAGTAGTAGTAGTAGTAGGAGGAGGAGGAGGAGTAGTAGTAGTAGTAGTACCAGTAGTCGTAGTAGTAGTAGTAGTAGTAGTAGTAGTAGTAGTAGTAGTAGTAGTGGTAGTGGTAGTAGTAGTAGTAGTAGTAGTAGTAGTAAGTCTAGTAATAATAGAAGTAGTCTTACGCGTACTACTACTACTACTACTACTACTACTACTACTACTACTACTACTACTACTACTACTACTACTACTACGACTACTACTACTACTATGACTACTACTACGATTAGTACTCCTACCCGTACTACAAGGGTTAATACTACCACTATTACTACTACTACCACTACTACTACTGCTGCTGCTCTTAAACATTTGATTCCTATTACTACGGCTACTGCTACGGCGTTTGCTACTACTACGACTACGGCTACGATTACGAGTGCCACTGCCACTGCCAATACTTCTGTTACTACTACTACTACTACTACTACTACTACTACTACTACTACTACTACTACTAGTACTAGTACTAGTACTACTACTACTACTAGTACTACTACTACTACTACTACTACTACTACTACTACTACTACTACTACTACTACTACTACTACTACTACCACTACCACTGTTACTACTATCTACTACCTACACTGGTTACTACTACTACTACTACTACTACTACTACTACCACCACTACTACTACTACTACTACTACTACTACTATTACTACCTAGTACGACTACGTACGACTACGACCACGACTAGCAGTACTACGTGTCTTACTATTACTACTACGGTTACCACCGCTACGACGACGACTACTAAGACTACTGTGATTGATATTCTTTTTTATTACAAGCACTACTACCACGAGGACGACTACTTTTACTACTATGTGTGCAGTATTTCGCATTGTACTACCAGTACTACTACCACGAACCACCACCACCACCACTACCACTACCACATCTGCCGTTCTTACAACTACTACCACCAGTACCGCTGCTACGACTAGTACTATTTCTACTACGTTTACCACTACTACTACTACTACGACGGTGGCTACTACGACTGTGATCAATACGAGTACCACTCCTACCACTCCGATTGGTATTGCTACTACTACTACCATTATTAGTACGACCGCGGCTATTACTAATACTCTTCTCACTACTACTACTACAACTACAACTACAACTATGACAACTACTACTACTACTACTACTACTACTACCACTACTGATACTACGAATACTACTACTACTACTACTACTACTACTACTACTACTACTACTACTACGACCTACTCCTACTACTACTACTACTACTACTACTATTACTCCCACTATCAGTACTACCACTACTACTACTGCTGCTACGACTACTAGTAGTACGTCCTCAAACGTATTTACACTACTACTACTACTACTACTACTACTACTATTTCTACGACTATGACCACTACTACTATTACTATTGCTACCACCTTCTATTTTTATTACTGCTGCTACTATTACTACTACTGCTACTACTACTACTACTACTACTACTACTACTACTACTGCTACTACTACTACTACTACTATTACACCTGAGAACACCCGACCAGTGGATGACCGCACAAGTCGGCACATAGATCTTGGGATCGGTTGTGAGGTCGATAATGGTATCGATCGTATAATCGATAGTGGACGATTCTAAGGTCGATCGTGAGACCGAGAGTGAAATCGATTCAATGAGGTCGATAGGGAGGTCGATCGCTAGATCGCCCATGCGATCTCTAGTGAGAGCACTTGCGAGATTGATTGTGAGATCGATTGAGAGATTGATGGTGGGATCGGTGGAGGGGTGGCAAGTGAGATCGGTGCTTAGACCGATCGGTAAGACGACGACTACCCGTAGTGGTACTACTAGTACTAACTATGTTCAATGTTACTACTACGGCCAATGCGAGTACTACTACTGCGACTACTACCACTACTACTACTACTACTACTACTACTACTACTACTACTACTACTACTACTACTACTACTGCTATTACTGCTACTACTACTACTACCACTACTACTACTACTACTACTACTACTACTACTACTGCGACTACTACTGCTACTACTGCGACTCCTACTACTACCGCGAGTTCTGCTATTTCCATGGTTCCCATCAATACAAGTGCGGCTACTCAGGTTATTACGACGACGGCGACTACTACTACAACTGCCACTACCCATGCCAGCCCCACTACCACTACTACTGCTATTCTGGCTACATCTAGTACTCCTATTACCACTACCCGTACCACTACCACTACCTTTACCATAGTTGTTGTAACTAGTGTTTCGGGTAGCATTACTACTGCTACTATCATTACTACTAATAAACTACTCTCGCGACTACTATCCCTATTACTAGCACAACTGCTATTGCTAGCGCTGCTACACATTTTTCGGTTACGGTTACGATTGTTGTTGCTACGATTATTTCTACGTCCACTACGACGTTTGA